ATAATTATAATTTTATATAAATGTAATTCCTATACCTTTATCCTTTATAAATTGTAAACATTTTAACCTCTCGTGTCTGAGTTGGTTGACTCAATTGCCGCCTCCGACTGCCAGCATCCAACCCGTCAATTTTGACAAAATTGGAGAATTTAATTGTAACTTTCATGTGCCTGAAAACTTTATTTTTGTTAAATATATTACGAGATTGCAAATTTTTAGTTCAAATTGGATAAAAATATGTTAGTTTAAATTAGGTTAAGAAAAGTCAAAACATCATCGATCAATTTACATTATATCCTTATTTAAAAATGATATTTTGTTCATTTTAAGCAAAATTGACATTTTTTAGTAAGTCTTTTTTTGCCATCTTTAGTAAGACCTGTTGAATGTAGCAATTCTAAATTAACCTTTGGAGATATTAGATAATTTAATTGAAAAAAGGTACTCCCTCACTCGTGACAATTCTTGAGATGTTATAGTTTTGGTATATTTGTATTTGTATATATTCTTTTAATTAGGAGTTAATTACCTTGTGTTATAGAAATTTGAACTCTTAATTTTAATCTCAAAATCAAGTTATTTAGGTTACTAAGAATTAATTTAGTTAAATTCTCGTTGTCATATTTTTAGTTTTATTAATAAAGAAGCCTTTTATCTCCTTAAAATCTATATATTTTCACTTGTTTTAAAATTTAAATTTAAAGTTTTTAACTTTGAATTTCATCAAGTTTTTACAAATCAAATATTTTTTGAAGACTTTTTAAAGATTAAGGTGAAGGATCAATCCCTAGTCTCTCTCTCTATATATAAACAGATTAAGGTGAAGATTCTTTACATAAAAGGAAAAAAAATGCTTAGGGTGTTTCACATTGAAAATAACTTATGCCCCTTATTCAAAAAAGTTTAAAGGCATTTTATAATTTTTGCATCTCAATACTACAACAAATAAAAGATAAAAATGATATTTTAAACTTATTTTTTGTACATAATTTTCAATAAATAATTTTTTTCTTATATTTGAAAAACTTTTCCTCAACTTTCTTAACGTGAAATTCATTCGATAATTTTCTTATAATTTTATAATATTAGCTTATTATTATTATTATTATTATTTGATAAGCAAAATTTCAATATCAAATTCTTATATATTAAATATAAAAAAATTAACAATATAATAAAAATTAACAAAATTTAATTAAAAAATTTATTAATTTTACACTCAATAATTTTTAATTTTTTTATAAAATATTTTTTCAATAAAATTAATTTCTAACCAAGCATGCCTTTTAGTTGAAAGCCGGACAAATAAAAATTTAAGGTGGAAGGAGCTTTGACACATTTATCCAAAACAAAAAAAAAAAAGAGCTTCAATCCATTTATCCAAAAAAAGGTTAAATTCTCATTTGGTGCCTCTACTTTGGTAAAAGACCTCTTTTTAGTTATTTTACTTAAAAAAACCTTTTAAAATTTTTGAAGTTTGAAATCGACTTTTTTTTAGCCCATATGTTAAGTTTTGCATATACTTGTCATGTTAGATTATAAAAATTTTAAAATAGATAGGCTAAAAAAAAGACTCAAAATAAATTAAATAGAAGTTAAAAATAACTTTAATTTGATCTTTTTACTTAAAAAAGCCTTTTTTAGTCCCCTTCATTTAAAATTTTTGTTATCTAATATTAAAATTTAACGGATTAGTTAAAAAGAA